TTGCTATAAAACATCTACCTTTACATTCCAACTCTCACAATCAGTCCTGATAACATTTCATTCCTTTATAAGGCCATTTAATGTTCCATTGTAAGCATATACCACATTTTGTTTATCGATACATCAGTTGATGACCATTTTGATTGTTTCCACTTTTGGGTAATTATGAATAATGCTGCTGTGAGTATACATTAATAAGTTTTGTGTATCAACAAATAAATGAGTAAATGCATGAAGACCTACCTATGTAGCATCTTGGGTCCTCTGGCTAGCATATGAATTTTAACGTACTTCCTTTGGGCAGGTCTGGGTCGAATCATCCAAGCTGAGGAATATCTGTCGCAAGCCCAGTGGACAGTCCTCAAATCAACCGAGTGCTGCAATGCCACCCATTCTTTATTACATCGGAACCTGGGACTTCTCTGTATGGCTAAGAAAAACTATGAAGAAGCCCGTTATCATCTGGCCAATGACGTAAAAATGCTAAATCTTAATGAGAACGACTGTTTAATTTTGTTGTTGTTGTTGTTGTTTTACTGAGCATTTCTCTAAAACTCTTGTTTGTAATTGACTATGTTGGGGGGGGAGGGGAGGCATTAGCAAGAACACAATTCTAACAACCTAAGTTGGAGCTTTTCCCTTTTCCTGGCTGCGTGGCCTTGGCATCACTTCCCAGAGCTTCATTTGCTCTGAGGATAATAAGGGAGGCAGAGCAGTGCACTGACTACATGAAAGCCTTTGCTTCAAGGACAGCCCTATTGTTTCACTAACCACGCAGCCTTGGGCACATGATTTAACCTCTCCACTGAGCCTTCTTTCATCACTTGTCATCACCAGAAACAGAAATAATAAAGTAGTCTTTGCCTCATTAGGTCATTGCAAAGGTTAACAACAGGACAATATGCGTACAGCACTTTGCCTTGTATTTTTATAAGTAACATCAGTACCTACTCCAGACAATGGCCAGTTTGAATCGCAAGGTCGGTAGTTCAAGCTTACCAGCCACTCCTCTGCAACCCTTTACAGGGTCGCTATGAATCAGAACCTACTCAGCAGCACTTAACAACAACAGTGTATATAAAAATGCTTTATAAACTGTAAAACTCTGTACAAATGTTACATAGATGATGAGGTTATGATTGGGCTGTTCTTCCAAAATTGATGAGGTTTCTGTTAGGATTTCAATATTGGCACCAGAGAGTAGGTGTTCCCGAGCCTGAAGTCTGGATTAGGTTAAAAGGTAAAGCTTCCATGCCGGTCAATTCTCTGTTCAACCTTTTCACTGGCCAACTCTCCCTCCCTCTGCATGCCTGACAATGCACAATGCCCATAAAGTCACAGATATATTCACATGCTGGTTCTTCTCTATATTCTCTTGCCCCAAATCCATTCTCTGCCCTGCTGTGGACCCTAGGAGCTGACCTCTATGAACTACACAACCTGGACTCTCCTGAGTTTGGAGAGCAGGAGACATGTCCGCAGAGTGAAGATTGGGAAGAGAGAAAGATCGAAGTATTTATTCTCTCTTCTCCCTTCCAACCCCACTCCAGTTTTGGCAATGACAGCGTTCCTCCATGGTTACAACTCATGTCAGATGGCCCACTTTCACAGTTATATCTCTTGCTGGTCCCTGGCCACCCTATTTTCTTCCCTTATCCTTTTTGGAGTGGGGTTGACAATAGTTTCCTATTGTTCATCGTTCTTAGCTGCTGTGAACATTTTCATACAAGTCTTTGTGTGGACCCATGTTTTCATTTCTCAGGCAGGTACCTAGCAGTGGGATCCCTGAATTGTATAGAACCATGTAATGTTTCACTCTGTTGTACATTAGGTTCACTATGAGTTGGAAGTGACTCCTCAGCACCTAACAACAACAACAACATGTTAACTCTATGTTTTGAGAACCTGTAATTCCAGGTTGTCCACATCATTATGAATACTTTCTATCTTCCATCATTTTTATTCTGGCCACCCTGGACGGTGTGAAGTGATAGTCTCATTGTAGTTTTATTTTACAGTTCCCTAATGACCAACAATAAGGAGCTGTGGTAGCGTAGTGGTTATGAGTTGGGCTGCTAACCTCAAGGTCAACAGTTCGAAACTACCAGCTGTTTGTTCCATAGGAGAAAGATGAGGCTTTCTGCTCCTGTAAGGATTTGCAGCCTCAGAAACCCTGTGCAGGGTCACTATGAGTTAGAACTGACTCCACGATACTTAACAACAACAACAATGACCAACAATATTTTACATCTTTTCATGTGCTTGTTCACCATTTGTATATCTTCATTGGAGAAATATCTGTTCAGATCCTTTGCTCTTTATTATTGAGTTATAAAAGTTCTGTATATATTCTAGTTACAAGTCTTTATCAGATATGTGATTTTTCAAAAGGAACTCCAGCACTCTCCTTCTTCCTCCTGCTCAGATATATTTTGCCAGTAGCGCGTTTGGAACAGAGAACATCAGGACCTCAGGAGGCTACTTCCAATTGGCTAATATCTTTCATAGCCTTAACAAGTTGGACCTGGCAGACACACTGTATACCAAGGTGAGTGGGGAAGGTGGGAGCTGAACTTTGAGATTTAGGCCTGGTACCTTGCAACTCATGTCAAACCATTCATGAATGAATTGAGGCACAGAGGGAGGTAGTGACTTGCCCACAGTCATAGAGCTGATCTATGACATGCTTCATTCCTTTGTCTCACCACTACCAAAATAGATTAGTCTTAAGCATCCATATTGCTGTTGTTGCTAAGTGCCATCGAGTCGGTTCTGACTCATAGCAACCCTATATAGAGTTTCTGAAGAGCAGCTGGTGAATTTCAACCGCTGACCTTGTGGTTCAAACTGACCTTGCGGTCCAGTGCTTTATCCTACAGCGCCACACCAGGACTCTGGACTCCATGTAGTGATTACCAAATAATGAATCACCGAAAAACAAACTTCTCCAAACAGATTGCCAAATGAATGGTCATATCCATAGCAGCACACTAATGATGACATATTGGGGTATGTTGGGGAAGGAGAGCTTTTTAAGAGAAATTCACTGTTGAAAAGTCTTGTGAAGGGATCAAAGAATATGAGAATAATTTAAATTTTTCATCTTTGCATGTAAAAGATTGAAAACTTTCTCCAACATGTTAAAATGTCACTTATGTTTGTATAGTACCAGTCATTTATCAGGAAGTCACTTAGCAAGTGGCCGTTTCTGTGTGTGATTCAGGTCCTCCTGCTGTCACTGCGGGGTCCTGATTTGGACCCAGTGTTCAGGGAGAGGTAGTATGGTGTAACTGAAAAACAAGCAGATCTGAGTTTACGTCCTGGCTGTACTACTTACCACTTCTTACCGGAAGTCAAGGGTAATCTTAACTCCTCTGAGGACTTAATTTACTTTTCTGCAAAATGGGTATCATAAGCATAATTACCTCAGTGCAGATGTTGTAAGACTGTGGTTGTTGTGTGCTTGGAAAGGTTGAGCATGTATGCTCTCAGCAATTGGTTTGTTGTTGTTAAGTGTCGTCAAGTCGGTTCCGACCCATAGTGATCTTGTATAGTGTTTCCAAGGAGTGACTGGTGCGCTTGAACTGCTGACCTTGCGATTCACATGACTTTGCAGTCCAGTGCACTAACCCATGGCGCCACACAGGTAGTCATTGTTCTTTAAGCTGTCAGGATGCCTCCAGCTCTACCTGGCACATGCATTTTGCAGCCCATTGCTTGTCACACTCACTTTGGCCAAATTTGTTTGGGTTCCAAAGGCTCCCTCTGTCTCCAGGACCAATTAGAGAGGGAGTCTCCAAACTCTTGGGGAACTGGCCAGGAGCACTGCTCTTTCCACTTGACTGGTCCAATGACCAAGAACTGGTCTGCTTGTCTGATTGTCATCTCCTTTCCCAACAGGTCACTGAGATCTGGCATAAATATCTGAATAATCACTACCAAGTCCTGGCACAGTCTCGCCTCCAAAAGATAGATTTACTGGGCAAACAGTTTGAGAATGACACTGGCCTGGGTAAGTGGCAGCTCTCCCTAGGAAGCAGAGCAGTGACTCCATCCCATCTAGCACAAAGGCCTTACGCCTAAGAAGGAGGGCAGCTGGTCCTGTCACAAAAGGTGACAGTGCCATCCTCTGGGACATGGGGATCAAAGAGACTTGACCAGTGTTGAGCAGAATTCAGATCTCCAGCATCAGAAACATCCTTTCACTGTGTCTGTAAGGGAAAGATTTGGAAAAGAAAAGGAGCTCCCTGTGACTTCTGCAGAGTAGCTGTAGGATGAACACTGGACTGCTAACCACATGGTTGGCAGTTCAAGCCCACCAGCTACTCTATGGGAGAAAGAGGAGACTTTGTGCTCCTGTAAAGTCAGAATTGACTTGATGGCAGCAGGTTTGGTTTGGGTTTTATCCACTACTCAGATCACCAGGTCGTATAAGACAAGGCATATGTTCTAAACAGACATGCCGTGTAGTTAGTGAGACAAAACCGATGTGCAGTAACAAAAGAAATTTTCTAAGAGTCCAAACTATATTGCAAGGTGAACCCTAGAATGAAGAAGACAGTTGGGTGACATTGAAGAAGGAAGACTTCTTGAAGGAAAGAGTATTTTAAACTAAGGTTTAACAAAGAATGATTTTATTGATGTGTCTCCCATAATAAAAGTGGTTCATATTAAAGCAGAAAACCTGTAAATGAATGAAATGCAAGGGAATTCTTTCCACCCACAGATATCCAAAGACAGTCAACTTTAGCATTATGGTATATGTTGTTTTTACCGCGCCCCCCCCCCCCCAATCTTAAAACCAAACCAACTCAGTTGCCATAGAGTCAATTCTGACCCATAGTGACCCTACAGGACAAAGGAGACTATCCTATAGGGCTTCCAAGGCTATAAATCTTTAAGGAAGTCGACTACCATATTTTTTTCTAGCAGAGCAGCTGATAGGTTCAAATTGAGGATGAGCACTATTCCCCAGGACTCCTTTCTTCAAGCTTATTATTTACATATTGTTGTTGTTTTTAAGTACCCTTTATAGGGTTTTCAAGGAGCGAATGGTGGATTTGAACCACCTACCTTGAGGTTCCTGACCCAA